GCATTCGCCGTTTAAGTGTGTCTGTTTTTAGGCCCCCCCGCCCCAAAAACAAACACACGAGCTACCACCAAAACGTCGGAACAATGGATACGTGTTGGAGTGGAATAGGGTCCCACCAAAAGGGTCGGAACAAGGGATATGTATTGGAGTAGAATAGGGCCCAACACCCCCAAAAACGAAGGAGTCTTTAGAACGAAGGCTTTTGATTGTGAGCAGTCTGCTCAGCCAATATATATTTTTTGCATTCCTAGCATATTAGGCTTTGAGTGCTGCGTTGTTAGTTTCCCTCATAAGGGTTGTAGCGGTAGCTCACATTGTGCTTTTCTTTGGTGTGTCCTTAACCAACGGGGGTTGCCCACAAAAGAGACACACCCATTTGTTCCAGGTTCCAGGCCGGGAATGGAACAGGCAGCAAGTGCACACAAACACACACACACACACACACACACACACACAGCAAAAGATACTGCTTGCCTCATTCTTGGAGGCGTCACAGCTCGGCCCTGGACACAGCTTGTCTCTCGTCTTGTTTTCAGCTGGGATCCAGTTAATGGAATGCCCAGCGGCTCTTCACCTAGATTGGCCCTCGGCCCATTGGTTGTTCCAACCAAATATGAAGGCTGAGGTGTCTTCTGGGAATGGGGATGAATCGCAGAAGCTTCAGCCGGAAGCAATTGGTTGGTTCAAGAAAGGTACCAGTCAAAAGAGTTGGGGGGTCCCCAAACCCCAGCAGTAAACTGGAATCCAGTTGAAACGGTTGCCCCGTTTCGTCCCCAGGAAAATCCTTTTTAGGATTCATGATGTTCCTGCGCCACACATGTGATCTACGTGGCTGAAATGCAAGTTGCCTTTGCCATAGCAAGTTTGAGCCGCCAGGCCTGGGAAAGGAACGTCCTTATTCTCGAAAACCGTTTTGTTCTGCTTGGCATTTGTTAGCGTTTGTTTTGCCCAATCACGCTTAGTCTGAACAGTTTCATGAAAACATAGTATCACAGTGACGCGACTTTTTCCGGATGGTGTGTTCCTGAGCGCCTTGTTTTCTGTTGGGAGCCACGAGGTATGGTATCCGTCCTTCACGGAGGAGCAAACCAACAGTCTCTACTTGCAGCTCAGCGATTTGGCGCCTTGGAACAGAAAAGCATCTCCAAAACGATGTTATATGTGAGGGTGGGACGAAATATGAAGCGGGAGTCTGACAAATCTCTTGTCCTTGCGCAAAGGTTGGCCCCAAAAAAGGAAGCCAATGCCTTTCTTTCGCCCAATAAGCCAACCTCGTGCCAATGCTATTTACCCTTTCCTGGGGCTAAATCGTGAGTACCTTCACCCCACGGAATGGCCCGGGACTTAACACCCCAATTCGGGGACTGGAAGGAGCAACGTCCAAAGCGCTGGCCAAGCACGATTAAGTCAGATTCCAAGAGATAGACGCCCAAAGTCCAGGAAGGCCATCAAATCTTGCCGTTTCAAAGCCATTTGGGGGGACATTGAGTGACGCGTTTGGAAGAATTTGTGCGATCCCAGCTTTGAAGGGCGCCTTTAGAGAGAGTCCCATTCTCCAGTCCGTCCGAGTTGGAAGCAACCCATTGCGCGCGAATTGGGTTTGCTCTTAGCTTTTCCTCAGAACATATTTTGAGCCCAGCTTGAAGGCTTGGTGCAATGAAAAAAATGGAAGCTTGAGATTTAGGCATATGAAGCACCCTCTCACGAAAGGAAGTGCGACTCTGAGCCTTAGCCAGACTTCTGGTTAAAGGGGGCTCGCGCACTGCCTGGGGCGGTATGCCACGCACCAACCACCCAAGCACTACCCCCGAACTAGTGTTAGCGCCGACCCACCAACCCCAACCACCTAACCCCAACCACCTCACCGCCACCAACCCGGGCCAAAGGATGTTGGGGACATCCTCATTGCTGACTTCGGCTTGAATGGCAAGCAGGCGGGGCCTCCACGGACGACGGAAAGGAGCAGGAGTTTCACCACGGCACATCATACGTGCATCGTGCTACAACCCTTGTACTCCGTTTGGTATCTGAATTCTTCAAGCTTCCATGGCATGAGTTTCCCACTGCGCGGAGCTGCGGAAGGGCCCCGTGCCCAGTGACGTGCGTGCGTGTGCGTGTGCGTTTGCGTGTGCGTGTGCGTGTGTGCATGCGTGCGTGGGTGTGTGTGTGTGTCTCTGTGTGTGTGTGTCTCAGAAAGTTGGGCCTAAGTAGAGCCAAGCAAAGAGTACGGAAACACGCACGAGGACAAGTGTGAACGTTGCGTTTAGCGGCTTTCACCTGGCCAACTCCAGGGTGGAATTTGATTTTTCCGATTCCAAGCAATCAGAGTCGCAGTGGTTGAGTGATGTCAGTTCCTCAGTTGAAAAAGGGCCTCTCAAACAAAGGTCTCCCCAACCCTGTCTTTCGCCCAGGCAGGAAATGTGGTCCTGGTTTCTCTAGACCACCGTGTTCATCAAAGTCCGACTGCTTCAAATTCCGCAAACGGAAGAAGCTGGCACCCGCCTGGAAACCAAGATAAGAACTGAAGGGTACTCAATTGAGGCAAGACACTGCGTCCCGAACCTAAAACCAGTACTCACCAGCATTTCTCGGTAGACTAAGCAATTAGTCAGAGAGCATCGAAGATGACCGATAATCTACACGAGGCAATAGAAAAGAATATATTTCAATCCAATACTAAGCCGGTGCTAAGAAACTAAGACATACTAAAACAATGCTACTCCAATACTAAACCAGTATTAACAAGTACTTACTACTTGAGGGGTGGACCTCACACCCTCCAAATGTTTCTGCGGTTTTGTCTAGTGGGTCCTTTCAATTTGTTTGCGGGGGGTCCCTTGATGAATCAGTGACCCACATTAGCCAGGGCTTGCTGTTTCGCAGGGAACGGCTAGGGTGTTGGGAATGAACCGCAAAAAAGACTCCTAGGACAGCACATGTGGAACTGACTTTGGACTGAGAACCAGGAAGCTACCCGTAAAGTGTCCCCGCTAGAGTAAACAGATTCGACCACATGAATAGTTCACACCTCGTTTTCCGGACATCTGTGTTTCCTTTTGGGACCATTTCTCAGAAATCGGATCCCTTCAGGGTGATTGGATTAGTGGCTTGGGGGTTTGAACCCTGGTTCTTGTTGAGATTGATTTTAGTGATTTTGTTCTTCTTCTTTTTTACCACCCCTTCACCACAAAACCCCCAAACCACCCATGAGTTGTGGCACAACCGCTGTGGTTGGACTTTCGAAGCTGAACTAGGTCCCCCAGTAGTGCCCTTTTACTCCTTTACCCTTTTTTGAGGGAGCGTTCCCCCAC